TGAATTGCTCAAAGAAGAAATGTATGAATTATCTTTGGATACTTCTCTCTCATTCCCCATATTCTACCCGTCACAAAGTTCAGTCAGTTATCACATAATTCTAGTCACTTCTCTCCATCTTCATTGTCACTATCCTAATGCAGGTCAACATGAACCCTCATCTGGATTCTTGCAATAATAGATCTCCCTACAGCTACTACTATCTTACTTCCAATGTCATTAAAACTCATCTTATCAGTCCTCTATCTCCACAGATCAATGGTCCCAAATCGCTACTGCGAAGCTCTCCAATGGCATTAATCTGGGGGCCACTCTTACTCTTCTCCTCTAGTCTTATTTTTTTTTAAAGATTTTATTTATTTACTTGAGAGAGAGAGTGAAAGAGAGAGAGAGAGAGTATGAGAAGAGGGAGGATCAGAGGGAGAAGCAGACTTTCCACTGAGGGGTGAGCCCAACTCTCAGGTCTTGATCCCAGGACTCTGAGATCATGACTTGAGCTGAAGGCAGTAGCTTAACCAACTGAGATACCCAGATGTCCTTCTTTTCCTCTAGTCTTATAGTTCTTCCTTCATTCTTCATTTATGCCATCCTCTCTTGGTCCAGAATATTTGCACATACTATTCTTTCTTCCTGGAAAGCTCTTCCCCCAACTCTTCATTAGGCTAACCCATCTTTCAAATCTCAATTGATGCATTAATTTAACCAGCAAATTTTATCTAATACCTCAAGCTGATTTATTTGTACCAATTATGAATTCCATAATATCCTATCTTTCCCGCTTTATGATACACACTATACATTATTACTTCTATAATGGCTCTATCCATATTGGAGTGTAAGCTCCAAGAAGATAAGGACTGTGTTTGCCTTTTCAACACATCATCCCCAATGTTTGTCAAATAATGTTTAACATAGAGTAGGTGCCTAATACATATTTACAGAATAAATGAATAAATATTATAGTAAAGACTAAGGAAGGACAGATGGTGACTGGTTTTTATCTGGAATTTGTGTGCTTCATACTCATAGATGATTTTGAATCATGATCTCTTAATAATACTTACATTTTTGCCTTCTTGCTATGCTTCTGGGATCATGGAGGATGCTCTCCAGTGCCCTCCTTGCACATTATTGTTCCAATTTTCACATTCTTAGGCTGTGTTATCAGTTCCAAAGAGACATTCTGGTGTTGATTCTGCTGTACAATAAGACTCATTTTTAGATATAAGCTGATCTCAGATGTTATAAGTAGTGGGCATATCTTTTTGATTATATTAGTAGTATCTATTGGTAAGAGATACCCCTGAGATGTTACCACATAAAGAAAATATTCTTTTATTGTTTCTCTTTTAGATTGCCTTTAATACATTGTCTTCTTAACCCTATCTTAGTTCCCTTGAAATGTCAGCTCCTCTCTTCTCAAGCCAGTCTATCATTATCACATTAAATTTACGTCCACTCAGTCTTTATACATTAATGTTATTAAACCTTGTTTGTTGTCCTGTCCACTCATTATGCTTTATTCATTAAAATTTGTTAATATTTGTTAACTTCATGCTAAATGCTACAAATATATTTACATCATTCTATAATCAAATGAAGAAGGTACAATTATCATTCCCATTTTTACAGAAGAATGAAATATGGCTTAGGTTTACTGACCTATCTAAGTTACAAAGATACTAAGTATTCAAACTGGGATTTGAACCCAAATGAATTTCTGCCTCCAGTTCCTTTGAAACTCACAGTTTGCATTGTGCTATTGTTTTACTTGCTGAGATGCAATTACTTTGATTTTAACTCTTTGTGCCCCTCTCCCTTATTTTTCTGTATAAGACAAGTCTTCCACAAGTACTTGTTTAATTGTTCACTGGGCTATTTTTATTACCAGTGGATGACAATATTTTTGGTATTGTTCTGTTAACTAAATATTCTTCTTTCAGCCCAAACTGAAGGGAGGCTGGCTGTGCAGAAAGTGAAACATGGATAACTAATGGTCAGAAGGAAAATCCTGTTTTGGAGTGCTTTCCAGAAAAAGACAAGTTTCCTAGGTTTTCACCAGGTAATTACCTGGGGTTCAAACTGATTTAGGACTTCTCTGGATATAATGCTGGTAGACTAAACTTTGTTTTCTCTTCAATATGTTAGCTTGTGTAAAAGATTCCCATTGTATATAAGTGTAAAAAGAGGAAAACTGGCTATTTTCCTCTGTCATGGGACTATATTTTGTCCTTGAAACTCTCAATCGGAATAATTACAGATGGGAGAGTTAAGGATTTCATCTCTCCTCTCTCTCCTTCTGTCTCCCAGTCTGCCCCTCAGCGGACTCCTTGAGCCTGGAGCCCCGCAGAACGCCAGGCTGTAGAACCACAAGGTTTATGGCGTTGTTTTACCTGTCTCAAATTCAGAAACTCCCTTAGTGAAGGCACAGAGCTCTCCCTGCTCGCGTTCCCTCACAGGGGAGCTGTCGGATTCCCGCCTCGAAGCCCTCCCGCCTCCACCCTCGCCTAGGAGTCATTCTCCAGAGCCGCCCCAAGACCCTCCGACCTAGGCGGGGTGCGGGCCAGGGAGGGAGGCGGTCAAGAGGTAAATGGGTCAGGAGCTTGGCTGGGACCAGGACCCCGAGGAGTCCCGGGTGCTGCGAGGACTGCTAGCCTTCGGAGCGCCGCCGGCCCACTACAGCGGGTACGCGCGGCGGGAGCCTCCCCTCGGTTCAGACTAGGGCCAGGCAAGCCTGAAACCTCGCGCTCCCGCTCCTCCCGCAGCCGCCGACCGCTCCGCGGGCCCCCGGAGCTCTGCGGCAGCCGAGAGCCGGCAGCCGGCATGGTCTCGGACTTAGGGGCCAAGGCTGTCTAGTCTAGGTTAGGGACACTGGCTTCGGAGTTCAATTCGGGTTCCACCTCTAGCCTACTAGGTGACCTTGGCCAAGTCGCTTCGCTTCAGTGCACCAGCTTCTAAATCCATATGAGGGAACTGAGGTGATGGCTAAATCCTGGGACAGTTGTAAGAATTAATAAAGCACTCCTGGCAAGTAGTAGGCGCTCAGTTAATGGGTAGCAATGGTCAGCAATAGGAGTTAGAAGCGAAAACTGCTCTGGGTCCCGAACGTAGGTTTGGGCTCCGGCTTTTCCAGTTCCTCACCGAGGAGTGGGGGAAGGGGCAGCGGCATCACCTGCCCTACATCCCCTTCTCCCTCCTCCCTCGTTCCAAAATAACTCGGGAGTACCGAGAGAGGAAGGCGTCCTGGCCTCGGGCTCCCTCACACACCCAGAACCCCCAGCCTTGTAGCCGCTGCTGGCACCCGCGGCACGTCTCTCTCCCTCGAGCTGAGGAAACATTTTGGCCGTGAATTGAGTATCTCCCTCCCTCTCCTACCGCCGAGCTCACTCGCTGCCTCCTCCGGGTTCCGGTGGCATTGGGGAGCCGGGCAAAGGCTCGGGCGGGAGGGAAGAGGCAGCATCGGGGTCTCAGAGTGTCTCCCGGCACTGGGAAGGCGAGCGAGGACGAGGTGGAGCGGAGACAGAGTGAGAACGCCGGGCCCCCAGGCGTCCCTAGGCCCCTTCCTCATTTTGCTGCCTTCGAGGGACCGCTCTGGCTTTTGCCATCCCGAGCCACACTCAGCCCCAGAACAGCCAGGTGTCCCTTAGCCGCCACTCGCCCTCTCCAGCTGGGACAGAGCTCCGGGGGGCACCGGCTCCGCCCGCGGCAGGAGTGGGCGGCCAGCGCAGGCCCGGGAGGTAAGTAGGCGCCGGAGGCGGGTTGGGAGAGTGCCTGCACGTGCGCGCGCCTGTGCGCGTGCTAGGAGGGGGCGTGTGGGGGCGGGGGTTCGGCCAGGGGTGCCCCCCCAGGGCCACCTGCCCTTGCAGCACCGTTTCGCCGCTCCAGCCCTCTCGCCCCCGGCACCCAGGGTCTGGCTCTAGCCATCCGCGTTCCCCACGCTCACAAGTCCCATCACCCCCTCATCCAAACCCCACCCTCCCCACTAATAATTTCCCAATGCAGAATCAGACCGAAACCTGGAGAGACAGCGTTGCCTTTCTGCTCCCCTCGCCCCCCCCCACCTCCTTCTATAAATAATCCGGACTAGCGGGTCAGGCACGTCACACGGCAAGAAACCGGGACCCCGAGGTTTTCTTCTCTGGGAATAGGGGGCAAAGGGTGAGGAGGAGGAGAAAGAAACCGCTCGTGAGTAGTGAAGAAAAGCTTGCTCCTTGACTCCTAGAAGAGACCAGACATCATTTTATTCTTCCTTTCTTTTTCTTTCTTTTTCTATTTTCCCGTTTCTTTCTTATTCTCTACTCCCCTCCCCCCCCCCCCCCCCCGCCCCAAATCCGACGGATTGCTCAGCACTTCTCCCATTGGTTTCTTTCTTCCCTCCCCGCTTGGACTGCTGCACCCACCGTCCCTCCCCTCCGGTCCCCACCGCACAACCCCCATCTCCAGCACAAATCTCGCCCCACGCAGGGGATGCTATTCGCCAGGAAATAAAGTTCAAACTACTCTCCTCTTAGGCTTGCTGATACCAGAAGTGGGCTCCCAGGCAACCCATTTCCACTAGCAGTCCACACCTGCTGTCTTTTAAATTCCCTGTCTGGTTTTGCATATTTAAGAGGAAACACACAAACACGCCCCAAAAACCCGTGAGGTACAAAACTGCCTCCAGGAACTACCAAAACTTACCAGAGGCTCTAGTTGTTTTGTCTTAACGAAAGGAAAACAAAGATTTTACTCTGGGTCCTCCTTGGGGTGACTTTCTTATATTATTCAAATATGTATATGTTTTATATATATATATATGTTTTTCCTTTTTCCCCTTTAATTTTTTTTTTTTTTTTTTTCCTTAGCAAGAAAATCTGCTCGGTCCCAGGCAGCCGCCGCTGCCCCTTTGATGTTTTGGTACACCGTGCGCATGCGCCTCACATTAGAATTACTGCACTGGGCAGACTAAGTTGGATCTCCTCTCTTCAGTGAAACCCTCAATCCCATCAAAAACTAAAGGGATGTGGAGAGTCCGGAAAAAGGGCTACTTTGGGATTTGGTCATTCCCCTTAATAATCGCCGCTGTCTGTGCGCAGAGGTAAGTGTGCCCAGCATTTCTCTTTTTCATTTCACTTTGAAGGGCTCTGTCTGCATACCTCTGTGAGCAGGGATCTGTAGTGAGGATCAGATAAATGCTGAAGACGATGTGCCTGCTGCCTTATTGATGCCTGTTTATTGTCTTTTCTTTCCTTAGTGTCAATGACCCTAGTAATATGTCGCTGGTTAAAGAGACAGTGGATAGACTCCTGAAAGGCTATGACATTCGTCTGAGACCAGATTTTGGAGGTAATGGGGTTGCCTTGGAAATAAGAAACAGCCCAGCTATAGCCTAAGCTGTCTTGTGAGCTTTGTGCGCGCTGTGTCTTCCCTCTCCCTCATTGTTGGCTGCATGTGGTATAGCGAATGTGTCTCTCTGTTACCATATTGAGAAAGTGATCCAAACTTCAGCCGATTTGTTGCTATCCAGCACTTAGATGGTCTTTCAGTGAGACCCTCTTAGAGTGTATAGGTGACTGCTGTTCTTAAGCTTCACTGCTGAAATCTTTTGCTGCACTGTCTTTGCTTCATTGAGATACAAACCTCTTAAGTTTATCTAATTGTGTGCCCGGAGAACCTGGCTTACTGGAGGCCATCGTGAACATTTTTGAGAACAAAATGTGCAGGCAATTGGTTGAAAAGTGACATTAATCCCCTGTGCCCGCCTACTTTGGAAGAGTTCTGGCAATGGTTTAAAGTGGCTGGTATCTGGATATTATCCAGACCTGCAAGCCCCACTGTTTGGGGCGGGGGTGGGGAGGTGGGGAGGGAAGGGGTTGGGGAGGGCTAAAAGGCAGGGAGGGTAAGTGGAGAAGGGCTAGGGACCTCTTGCTGCAGCCTTAGATACACTGATATGCCCATTTAATTTTGCTTTAGATTCTTCCGAAACTCAAAGAGTTAAAACCTGCGCACGGAAGGGGGGCGGGAAAGAATGAGGAGGAGGGGGTTTTAGTGCAATATATAAAAATTCCCTCAGGCTAGACCGGTTCCTCTGACTTCTGTGAGTTGTTTTCTCTTACTGAGACATCTACATATGTAGATAGAATTGGAATCCCTCTTACAGGAGGGCACGTGTGTACACGTTCCATAGAGCATTTCCTAGATGAGTGCCTGGCACTCCTTTTAAAAAGGAGCAGAGAAGTGAAGAATATAAGGGTGGGGGAGGCATTTGGGGGGAGCAGTGGGGGAGGCATTCGGGGCGGAATACCCCATGCCCAGGGAAAGCTCTTGCTGAGAATGAATGAAGTTCTCAGAAATCACGTGGCTGGCTATCTGGGTTCACAGGTCCCCCTGTGGCTGTGGGAATGAACATTGACATCGCCAGCATTGATATGGTTTCCGAAGTTAATATGGTGAGTACTGAGGTTTATGGTTGTATCTCCGCAGACCTTTATTTGGGGACAGGAAGTGGAAAGGAGCCGGTTGGTGGGGATGGCGTATGCATGAGTATGTGTATGAAGTGAGGCTGAGGGCTGGGGACTTTGCTTTGAAGCCCACTGTGTTTGAGGTTTCAAAGCCATCGTTTTTGGTCCCTAAGGATTTTTCCAACCTGGTTTGGATACCTGGGAATTGTTACAGAACAAGTAAAATGCATCATAATTCACGTGCAAAACACAGCCACATGCAGAAGATCCCTTGGCAGAAGCCACATTTCTTAAGGTTTAGTGGGAAACGAGATTCATCGAGGATTTTCTGAGTTTGGGGTGGGGTCAGGAAAAGAGGGAAGGGTTTTGATTTGATATTTCACAGGGAATATAACTATAAACTAAACTGTCACAAAGAGGCTGAATAAATGACCCTGGGATACTGATGTCCACTTGTTGCTTACAGAGATGGTTTCTTTACAGCTGATGGCAATCTCCTCCTCCCACAATTGTTCACCAGCTCTTTTAAAGTCTGCCCACCAAAATAAATTACAAAAATTGGTCACCCTGTTTTCTAAAGGCAAGCTCAGACCCATGTGCCCTAGCTAGTCACTTCTGCAATGTTATTCACTGCATGTCCTAAGGTCGTACATTTTATGGACAACTGCACTTTTTATTGGCTACCTCGTTGGACTTGGGCAAATGCTAAGAGAAAAAGCCTCCGTGTTCCCAACCAGGGACACTTGTGGGGGGTTTGCTTCATGCAGGAGCGCCCCCTGCTGCCTACCTTGGGTCACTACAGACGTACAAAACAATGACAAGTGTCCCAGATACCCCAGATTATTTGGGCTGCTACTTGTCTTTCCAGTGACTTTTCTACTCTGTGTCTTTGAAGTTTTCTCCTTTGGAAAAGTCTCTCTAGAAAGGCCACATTTGAATGTAAGATGCGAGTGTTACTTTCAATCCTGAAAGCGCACAGCACATTTCAGAAGATCGTGTTGTGGCATGGTTCTTCCTAGAAATGAAATGCACTATTTAAATAAGAGGATGTCGTGTGTAAAGTTTTCTGCAAAAACACTTCTAAGCCAGCCATCAGGACTTGAAAGTTAGGACACTTATTAATTAACTCAAGAGAGCCAAAGTGCTAGGTAGTGGATAGGTTCTCAACATTATGCAAATTTCCATATTCTCAGAATTCAAATAGAGGGCAAGTCAAATCACCAGCCTTATCCCTATACACTCTCCAAAGACAGTTGATAATCCTGAGGTATCACAAGGTTATAAAACATCTCACGACTACTCCAGGGAATATTCAACAGTTTCAGCCATGTTTTAATGTCATGTTTATCTTCTTGTATTCTACTTATTGGTAAGGTTTTTGATATATAAGATACAAACACAGACTAAGACAATATTGGGTGATTCAGAACCACAGATTTCCCACACATTATGAAAATCCCCTGTTGTCTAGAGAATATGTCCTCCTTGGGAAACTAATCTTTCAGATACACAAATATTCATTTTGTGGGATTATGGAGGTCTTTCATTGGTTTAAATTTGGAGTTTTCCATAACTATTACCATTTGCCAACAAGAGTGAAGCAAAAAAAAAAAAAAAAAAGAGTAAAGCAAAAAAATGTCCTAAAGTGTGTACCTCTCAAGTCCCAAACATTTGAATCTAAATTGTGTTGCTAGAAACAGAGTGATTAGAAATCTGGTATTGTTCTGTATCCTACATATAGTCAAATTAGACTCCTTTCTTTTGCCTTTTGATTTATTTATTTATTTATTTATTTACATAACAACATCACAAAATGGTATTCTATGGAAAAATTAGGAAACAGAGTCCAAACAGACAATGATGAGAAGATTAAAAGTTGCTGTGATAGGTCAGCTAGGAACTTAGATGTGTTATATGACCCGAATGTTTAGAGTAGTGTTTTTTTTTTTTTTTCCTTAAGTTTTGTTCACCTTTTACCTGCATGCAGCATTTTGGAAAGGCATCTGAGCTGGACACAATGCCAAGACCTGCTAGTCAAAATATAGACACCAGCTAAGGCAAGGTGTCATCTCTTAAAGCTATTTACTGTTGCTGAAAAATCATGGGATGTTGAAAGTGCAAAAGCAAATGCCAGGTTGTAAATAGGCCAGTACTGCAGCATTAAATGATTAGAACCAAGTGTCAAAAATCCCATACCAGATTCCTATCTTAGCCTACTGCTAACACATGTAGACTTGTCCAGACGTATTTTTACTTGTTGAAAAATTAACACATTTCAGCTAACGGTCAGAGTGACTTTAAATTAATCCTTCAAAGAAAAATTTTGCAGGATATTTTATTCTTAGATATGCTTATTTGATTTGAAGCAACAGATGGGAAATTTCATCACTGGTGTGTAAAAAAAAAAAAAAGAAGATGTTCATGGCATATTGTCCCCTGTATACAGGTTTAAAAGTATTAGTATCTTTTGATCATTTTTAGTTCTGAAAGAATGACTGATTATTTAAATGAAACCTCAAAATTAATTAACATACATTATTATGTTTTGTGACATGCAACCTCTGGTAATTGTAACTTCCTTTTACTATAGCAAATCTTCCTTTGAGGGATGGTAGACACTATGCCATGTAGATTGTCAAAGACTCATTTGTACTGAAGGAAAAGACCCATGTCAATTTGATGCCCCTGGTAAATCACAATAATAGTAATATCTGAACCAAGTCAGGAGTTTTGAATACTCGTTCTGCTTCTGCTGCTCAGTCATCCTGAGGGAATTCAAAGACAGACGAAGCTCAATATCCTCACCTGTTAGAGGGGAGGAATAGTCCCGTTTTACTTAGTGACAATTAGAATTAATAAAACAACATATGTGAAAGTATTGATGTTCTATGAACATAGCTTATGTGGAAGATGGAATAACAGGCTAACACTCAAGAAACTCTGTCTACTCCAATTGTGCCTTAAATGTACTTGGGTCAGTAATTTATATTACCAGGTCTCAATTTTCTTTGTGTTTGAAATTAGAGGGGACATGTTAAATTGACTTCCAAACCACAGTTATATGTGTTGCTGGTTTGATTTAGTATAATAGCTCTGTTGAGTACAAAGAAGTTCCTGGAAAATTTGGAAATCCAGCATAAATGTAAGGAAAATGCAGAATTCCTAAATATCATGCAGTTGTGAGTTCCTACTCATGAAGGTGAGGATGGTAGCTTACTCAGGTGACTATTGGCCCAATGCTAGGTCTTTGGAAGAATGTGATTTCAATTAGAATGCTCCTGAGGAGAAAGCTTGGCTTTAGAATGAAATATTTTTAGATGTCTTGGTTACATTGGCAGGAATCTTTTTGTTAAGACTCTTTGATGAAAAGTGCATTTTAAGATCCAAAATTGGCTCTGAGAATTAAGGACCGAAATAGCTTTCTCTTCATTTAAAGCAGATACTTCTCCATTTTGAAACAACACATTTGCCAACCAAAGAGTGAAGCAATATTTCACTTTTGAGGAAATAGTTCTAGTAAACACACACACAAATTACCTTTTTATGGAATGGCGAAAGAGAAAAAGTGTTGCCTTTTTTTTTAAACAGCTGTTTTCTTGCATCACCAGATGCACAGTTTAAAATTCAATTCAACACAAATGCTTAGTTAGCAGCTACTATGATCCAACCATGTTAGGCCTTAGAAACAGATCAGTGAACAAGATCGATTTGTCCCCTGACCTCATGAGACTTAGCATCTAGGTGTTCACTATTCTTAATTCTTCTGCAGACTCTTACTGTACTTATATCTATCTTTTTTCTAAAACTTTTTTTTTTTTATGAGCAGTCAATTGAGTACCTAGTGGTCTGTATCTCCCATGTGTTCCTTTGTCACTTGTTGGTTTCACCATTTTTGTTTGATATTTGCCATTTCAAATTGCTATATAGGCTACATATTCATTCTAGCTTCCTGATTCATGTTTATAAAATGCATATAGACAGAATTACAGTGTATCTCCCCTGTGTGTCTATACACAGAATTACAGTGTATAGATCTTGCTCTGTACACAATGGTTGGCTGGATGTTTGACTCCTGGTGAATGCCACAGATATTGGGTGAACTATTTGTTTTCATAACAGCAATTTGTTATTATTCACTAGAACACCATACCATATATGTGGAGAAACAGAACATAGACTCATAGGCCTCAAACTCAAGGCATTCACTGTTTAACCAATGTAGAAAGAATCACAGTGCAGGATTATAAATGCTTTGAAGAAGGAAATATACAGGGTATATTGGGAATGCAGAATCAGATATTACATAGAAATTAGTAGGTGAGGATGGGATTAGAGGGCTGTGGATAGATGTCCCAAGCAAAAATAATGGCACATAGAAGGAAAAAAAAAAAAAAAAAGCACGGGAGAGATAAATGGGGTTAGGGATTTGCAAGTAGCCTTAAATGGCTGGAGTTGGGAGTGAAAGTGAGGAGATGATAAAAGCTGGTATGGAGATCATAGGCAGTGATCAGCCTATAAAGACCATTTATGCAGCTTGCTGAAGAGTTTAAATTTTGTTTTGAGGACTGCAGGGACCCATGAAAGGATGTGAATAGGAGAATTGCATGAACAGATTCACACTTCAGGAAGATGCTTCTGAAATACAGTTAAGCAAAATGTAAAGTTGGGAGAGAAGATGAAACCTCATTGCAAAAATCTGGGAAGAATTGATGAATTGAGGCAGGGATATAAAAGAAAAGATAAAAAAAAAACTGGGGCATTTACAAGGTAGAAGAAAAGGACTTGGTGAATCCCAATTTCTGATGGCACTATTTATTGATATGGAGGACACGAAAAGGGCAGCCAAGTTGGAGATGGGGTGGGAAATTAGGCATATGGACAAACAGCGAGCTCAGCTTGGGATATGTTGACTTTTCTACAGACGTGAAATTTCCCATGGGAGATTGGAAAATACAGGTCTAGAGCCACGTAAGGAGTCATGACTAGAG